CTAGGGAATCCCCAGAAGTTTCATTCAGGCCAATACTCATTGACCTTACCACTTTCTTACAATGTTGTGCTGTAATAATTCATTTATTTTTCAGATAACTCAATCTTTATTAAACCATAGAGTGCCTGATTCTATTGATGATATGGAGTTAATTGCCTGATCATCAAATTGTCTGTCTTATTACATGGTTTATGTGAGTTTTACGTTCCAAAATTACCTTGTAAAACATTAACATATAATATTTAATTTGTCTTTACTGTAAGCAAATTAATAACATGTGATAGTTTAATTCCAAAACACAATAGAGCTTTATTTCAACCTGAGACAAAAAATATATATATACTTTGTAAGCATTCTGATCACTGTGTAAAGAAAACGATCATTTCATGTTTAAAGGACATGATTATATGCATCATGTTGTTATGCTGATAGGTGAAAGATGTCCTGTCCTAGGGTTTCCTAGGATTTGGAAATGACTCATTTAAGTGTTAACGTCTTGGCCCAACCAGGCAATCGCAGCGGCAGCAGCTGAATATACAAGTATTAGGAGAAGCAGAATTATGGGCCTCTCAGAGAGTTCTTCTGAAACATCCAAACTGAGCTCTAAAAGTGCTAAAGAAAGAAGAAACAGAAGAAAGAAAAAGAATCAAAAGAAGCTCTCCAGTGGAGAAGAAAAGGGAGATGCTGAGAAACTGTCCAAATCAGACTCAGAGGAGAACATCAGAAGAAAAAGTTTCCACCTTGGTGTTGAAGGGCATAGGCGAGCACACGAAAAGAGGTTGTCTACCCCCAGTCAGGTACCACCCAAACTGCTCAATGTGTACCACCAGAGGCAGAATGATAGAGAAAAATGTCTTATTTTAGGGTAAGAGACCTCAGGAGAGGATAGTGAGTGACTTCATTGGTATGATTTTAGGTAAAAACCAAGTATCGCTGGGCGTTAATGGAAAGATGTACACAGATTTTCATTTGGGTTTGATCATTTTTGAAAGATCTTATAGTTTCAGAATTGTCAAAATATTTTCTAATAAACTAATTTTCAGAAACAAAATATTCCTGAGAACCATTGTAGAAATAAAGAGACTATTCACACTATAGACTAGTTGCGCTTCTTTCTTTCTTTCTTTCTTTTTTTTTTTTTTGAGACGGAGTCTTGCTGTGTAACCCAGGCTGCAGTCGGCTCACTGCAAGCTCCGCCTCCCGGGTTTACGCCATTCTCCTACCTCAGCCTCCCAAGTAGCTGGGACTACAGGTGCCTGCCACCACGTCCGGCTAATTTTTTGTATTTTTAGTAGAGATGGAGGTTTCACCATGTTAGCCAGGATGGTCTCAATCTCCTGACCTCGTGATCTGCCCTCCTCGGCCTCCCAAAGTGCTGGGATTACAGGCGTGAGCCACCATGCCTGGCCTTGCTTCTTTCTTAACCATTATAGTTAATAGTATTACCTGAGTATAACTCACCCATTTGGAACTTTAGAGAAGCCTTTGATATCCTCCACCCCCAACCACATCAACTACTAATATGTAATGCCATAGTCCGTTAATTCTGCTTATGTGGAAGTTCTCTTTCCCTTTCTCTTTTCACTGGAACCTTCATCTCTCAGGTCTCCCTGCCTATAATTCTGCACAAATCCCTAAGAAGAACCATTGCTTCTATTTTCCTTAGGACTTCCCTGTTTTCCATCACACAACCCCACAAATCATTTTTGTAAACTAAAAATCTAGTTAAGAATCTGCAAGATTCTGCCTGATATACACAATAATAAAACGTAGAGTCCCTGCCTTCACAATTTCACTTGAACCTAGGCGATGATACGGAACTTGGACACATATATCAATAAAAATAAATATGACAGGAGCAGTCCAAGCTGGTTTTGAGGCAAAGACCTTGCCATACTTTTTCCATTGTTCACAATATTTGCCGCTTTGTTCTTTACATAGTAAGCACTAATGTCTATTGAACTAGATCCTTCCAAAGGCTTTGCATCCTGGACATGAGTCATATAAGAATGAATTTTTCCTCCTCTTTCGTATTGGGCAACTACTTTAAAAATATTTAATGACTATAAATTAACTGGTGTTAAATGGTCTTTTTAAATACACTCTAACTGAGCTCTTAGTACGTAAGGTGGATTTTCAATGCAAAGAAGCAGACAGCATGATTTCCAGTTTTTTGTGAAGCTTGGGGATTGATATATAAAAAAGTGAATGACCGGTAACAATACTAAGTTCTTTTTTTAAATGATATATTCTGTGCAGCAAAATGAATGGCATTAAAAGAAAGGAGCAGTAACTCTAGACCAGAATATTAGAGAGCTGTACAGCAACAAATAATTTACCTGGTCCTGAAAGGATGAGTTCTGCAAATCATTTCATCCCTTCAGTGGAATAAGTTTTTTTTCTCACTGAATTGCTTTGTTTTTAAGTGTGTTTCTTTTAAGTCAGTACAGAGCCACCTGCCCTCAGGCCAGTGGGTTCAGTGGTATTTATATGAAGTATACTTCTATTAGTAGGTGCTTCAGCAAATACATGTTATTTTGTAATTTTTCTGCAGTCACCACTCAGCATTCGTGGCTCCTTGTTTTCTGCAAGGCGAAGCAGCAGAACAAGTCTTTTTAGTTTCAAAGGCCGAGGAAGAGATATAGGATCTGAGACTGAATTTGCCGATGATGAGCACAGCATTTTTGGAGACAATGAGAGCAGAAGGGGCTCACTGTTTGTGCCCCACAGACCCCAGGAGCGACGCAGCAGTAACATCAGCCAAGCCAGTAGGTCCCCACCAATACTGCCGGTGAACGGGAAAATGCACAGTGCTGTGGACTGCAACGGTGTGGTCTCCCTGGTTGATGGACGCTCAGCCCTCATGCTCCCCAATGGACAGCTTCTGCCAGAGGTGATAATAGATAAGGCAACTTCTGATGACAGCGTAAGGACGTTTTACATAGCTCAGGCATGGCTGGGCCCTTGTTCCTGCATCAGTCGGTCTCTCTGCTGGAGGGCCTTCTCTCTGGTCTTGTGAATGGCTCTGCATTTTGCAATACTTTTTCTATAGAAACACACCTTTGATTCATTACCTTAATCCTCATTCTATGTGTTGTAGGCATCTAACTCAAAGATAAAATCCCATTTTTGTAAAAAGGTACTTGTCTATTAATTTTATAATTGAAGATTATAAATAATCTATTTAGAGAACAATTTATGAAAGATAAATATATAGATAGATATCAGCACAGAAAATGCAATGATAATGCTGATATTAGTTAATAATAGATCCCATTTCTATGAAGAAATTTGGATTACTTGCCAGCTACTGCTATCTTTTTCAGGTCACAGCTTAATATGTACCTATTCCAAGGAATTTCAAGAAATCTTATTTGAGTTGTTAGTAACAGCAAACACGTATTTAGTATTTACGACAACCCCATGAGATGACATATTATTATCTCTGCTTTACAAATGGGAAAATTGAGGCATGGGGAAATAAAGCAACTTACCCCAATGTACTTAGGTAATAAACGGTAGCTCTGAAGTTGAAACAGAGGCTGTCTGTTTCAGAGCTTGTACTCTTAGCCACCCACTCTGCTATCTCTCCAATGTGCAGTAGAACGCTTACCTTGAAAAAATTTAGAATGACTATGTCTTAGGTCCTCTACATAAATGAAACATAACTGTTTTCCTTTTTAAAAAATATTTCATCAGGAGTTTGTGAATCAAAACAAAATATCTGAAATGCAAGCATTGATACAAACAAACATAAAAGCAAAACAACAATTTTACAGCAGTTCCAAAGGTCTAGGAGTCACTGAGTGGTTAGAGAAAGGTGTCTGATTAGGCTTGAAAGTGAGATCTTTCTCATTCCTGGAGTTTCCAGGATATCTCTTTAGCCCACTCACTATGCTATGCTGCATTACTAATGTCAGCAAGGGCTTTGACTAGCCCAATAAGCTTCAAACATATGCTACATGCTTATATATTTATATTTGCAGACAGTGTAGTATTTTAAATGAGAATAAAGTTCCATCAAATCCATGGCCACACATATATTTCAATTTGAATAAATGCATGTGCTTTTAGGTAACATGTGACCTCATTGTGTGCATGATACAGCTTAAGCCCTTCTCTCAAGGTATTTTTCCTTATTGAATGAGCATGTTACATTTCTGTGGAATCTAACTTTGGTTGCATTTTGTTTTTCAATTATGTGTGTAGTATGTAAAATATTATATAATTTATATCAGATTTGGTGATTATTTCACATTTTTTAATGAAGTTTCTTCATTTAAGAGTTTTTTAACCATAAAAAATCAGTATCACAATAAATCCTAAAGTGAAAACTAGAAAACTAGGGAAATTAGTGGATACTTATAAGATACAATCATAATACAATAAACATAAAATTGTGGCACAATATATGGTTTATATGAAAACACTGCATAACAAATAATGTCATCTCTATACCTGAAACATATCTACATGGAAAAGAATTTGTTTAATCTGACAAATTCTTATTTCACAGACTATAGCACAGAAAACATGGTTTCAAGACTTTTCAAAAAGTTGACTTTTTACAGAGATCTCTCAAATGGGTGTGTCTGTTCACATACACATATATGTATAATACACCCATGCACATATTTATGCCTGTATGTGTTTTGATACACCACATACATGTATGACTATACCTATACAACTATACAACTTTACAAATCTAGAAATAGATATTTATATATTTAAATATATGTATTTAAAATATATACCACATACCACACACAAGCAGACAAACATGATAGATCTAGGGTTGTATAGTTTTTTGTGTATATATGTGTGTGTGAGTATGTGTGTGTATTTCTGGCCTGCACGGAATCAACATAGTGTTTTAAATTTGAATTAATTTTCAAGTTTTACAAATAAGACATTTTCTCACAAAAATAAATATACTTGGTATGCATGAATTCATATTTTTGCATGGCAACAATTTCTAGAGCTGAAAGAGTGGTCACCTGTTTCAGATGTAGCTTGCATTCTCCATTTCACTAATTGTTCTTTTCAAACTGAGTCATTGATCATCATGTACTCTGCTCAGTTCATGAGGTCTTCCTTGGCAGTAAGAGACAAGCATTACAGTAGTTTCATTAATGTTGTTTCCTCAATACAAAGTAATTCCAGAAATTTATCATAGAACACTGAGATTCTACCCCTTTAGACAGCACTACAGCACTTTAACTGTTTTCATGTAGGACTCTCACATGATAAAACTATCTGAATAAATTGGACACCCAGAAAGGTAGAGAGGTGATGATAGTGATGTAACAAAAAAGCAGCTAGCTTTATTATTTATCTCCTAAATATTAATTCCTTTAATCCTCACAAGAATATGAAGCAAGTACTATGATTATCCCCATTTTACCAATAATAAAACTGAGACAGTTAAGTAACTCTCCTGTGATATACAGCCAGTAAGTAGCAGAGCCATAATTTGAACCCAGCAATCTAAGCTCTACTTTTAATTACTCACCACAGCTATATAAGCAAGATTTTATCTTATACCTACAATTTATTAGGATTCTGTTCTTAAGACGTTAATTGATCTTTTTTTAGGGCACAACCAATCAAATACACAAGAAAAGGCGTTGTAGTTCCTATCTCCTTTCAGAGGATATGCTGAATGATCCTAACCTCAGACAGAGAGCAATGAGTAGAGCAAGCATATTAACAAACACTGTGGAAGGTATGTAATAATCTTCTTTTTACCGGACAGATTCTTAAATAAAATTAACATAAATCTGGTCAACCTTAAATAGACATGTGAAATTCTTAGCAATAATTCAGAGGCCATAAAATAGTTTTAAATGATGGTAAAGATAACCAATGGATATTGATGGAATTGGTTTTATGTGCTTAAAAATGGATAAAGTTATTTGCTCTTAAACACACACATTGATAACATGGCAAAAATGACTTTGCAAAAATGAAAAAGAAAACCACAAAGACAGATGTTGGGTGATCTGACCTTTCAAAGACAAGTGATTTGATGGTAATTGATGCAGAAAACAAGGTTAACCCAGAGCTATGTGATTTTGTCCCTATCCAATCTTACAAATTACATATTCGCTCAAATTTGTCTCTTCTAATAAGCAAAGATAGTCAAAGGGTGACAACTTTACAAACTGTTCTGTCCCTCTCCCCTGAAAATGTGCCCCAGGTCCCACCTGGTCCCTGGTCTAACACTTCACCCCCACATTCCCATCATGGGAGCAGACAAAGTGTCTACCCATCCCCTGAATGAATGATGAGAAGTAAATGGGCTGGCTAATGGTGTGAAATGTCTATTTCATGAGTCCTCCATAAATTATTTCTAGTTGCTTGGTTCTAGGATTGTTTTCACCCATGAACTATTACAGCAAGAGTTTTTTCTGGATAGAATAGTCTCGTCTTATTGTTGTCATGGGACTAAAAACACAGGTGAAAAATATGCATATTGGTGGAAAATATACATTTCTCTGTTAAGGAAACATTAGTTCTCCTGTTTACCATCACATGTTAGGTGCATTTTTCTCTGAAAGATGCCCACATATGTGCTTGCAGTCATTAATTTCACTTCCTTACCCTCACTTATGCTTCATCTAGGCAACAAACATGTCATAATAGACTTACGTAAGAGGCTATACTTTCATTGAAAACAATACTGTTAAATTTTCAAAATCTAAACTACAAACCCTGTTTCAATATTAGAGTGCCTCACTGATTTGTATCTGGTTAGGAGTGAAATATACAAATGGCTGACTCCATGTTCTCTGTTTTTTTCTCCCAGAACTTGAAGAGTCCAGACAAAAATGTCCACCTTGGTGGTACAGATTTGCACACAAATTCTTGATCTGGAATTGCTCTCCATATTGGATAAAATTCAAAAAGTGTATCTATTTTATTGTAATGGATCCTTTTGTAGATCTTGCAATTACCATTTGCATAGTTTTAAACACATTATTTATGGCTATGGAACATCACCCAATGACTGAGGAATTCAAAAATGTACTTGCTATAGGAAATTTGGTAAGTCTCTTATTGTGTGTTGCATACTCATAGTTTCTCTCTTTAGTTGTCATCACTGTCATTTCATATTTTTTTATGTCAGATGAAATTGCAGCCTCATAATTATGCATATCAAGAAGTTACCATATGAATGGATGCGTAGAGCCAAATTTCTGGTTATGTCTTTCAAAATAATTGCACAGTAGTGTTGAGGTCTATAAATAACAATACTATTTCTATAAAAGGTTACCATCTTGGGAGTTGATAATGATTTTTTCTTCCAGCATATTTCTTGGGAGCAACACTTAACATTTTTGGTTCTTTCTTATACCTTCCTAATTACATTGCTGCTTTTTTGTAAGTACACATCTCACATATTTTCAGAAAACCTGTGGATGTATTGCTTTGACATAATAGTGGTGAAGTGTTTGGGTCCTCAGAGTCCCAAAGACCTGTGTTTGAATGCTGATTCTGCATTATATGAGTGATATGGCCTTGGACAAATATTTTAACTCCATATTATTTAATTTCATCATTTATAAAATAAAACTTCATTATAAAATGATAATTTTTATTTATAATATAATTATAACTATATTTCATTTATCATATTGTTAGGTGGATTAGTTTCTACTTATTAGCCTCGCATATAGTAAATACACAATAAATTAAAGCTATCATCACCATCAACATCATTATCATCAAAACTTCAAAAGCTTAATGAAACAAGCTTTAAAAACAACTATTTTGAGAAACCAAAATGGTTGAACTGGACATAGAAGTCTCAAGGATAGGTGAGAAAGTGATCAACAGGCTTCTAGAAGATATAAGATCCAATTAGGAAAACTGATGCCAGAGTGATCTCTAAAATGTACAGTGTTGGTCACACTAACTCATAGTAAACAAAGGGCCAGTTTTTGACTATGGATGTGAGGCACGCACCAGTTCATTTTTAGAGAATCCCAGCTTATGACTCTTCGTAAACCATGAATAACTCTGGGTATCTTTGTCAATGTCTACATAAGATAATTTTGCTTTTGCTGTGGTCCCAAACAAATTGATATTTGAAGACCAGAAGTTCTTTTCTGGGTCTGCTTTCTCTTCCAAATTGTCTACAAATATTCCCAGTTACAATGTTTTTCCCCATGTGCTTGCTGAGTTGGCATTCTTCTTCCCTTCTATTTATCTTTGGAAAAAGGCAGGAATATCTAGTTTCTAATTGTTGGTGGAGATCTGGATCATGCAAATAAGTACCTTCTCACTGAGATGACTACATCCCTGTGAACTCAGAAAGGATTTACCTGGTCACAGCTATTACCACAGCCTCAAGTCCAGCTGCTCCCTGCCAATCGTCTTGATCCTGCATTATTTGAAAATTGACTCCTACAATTATAGACCTAAACATTTCCCTTAGAATCTTCTTTGATCAGATTCCTTGAGTCAAAGTGTACCCAAAGGATTCATTTCGGTGTTGCCTTTTTAAGTGAGTCCTTTGATACCAGTATCATGAATTAATGATATTTTGCAATGCACTTTTGTGTCAAAGCTTTAGAAGTCTTACTTTAGCTGCCATATTGTCAATTAAATACTTTTTTCTCATCTGCTGATAAATCTTTAAAGAGTGAGTCAACATGTTCTTTATTACTCTAACAGTAGTCAGATCAGAATTTTTTTTTTTCTGGCTCAAAATTTCAGAATCAATTTATGTTTTCTTTTTATCTTCTTCCAGAACAACTTTTTGACCCACATAAATTCTTTGAAAACAGTGACTGTGTCAATTACCAAATGTTTTACTTTGCTGAAATTTTAATATGCTATTCTAAAACGCTCCGTAAAAATGATGAGCACTGACAGGACAGTTAGAGCTTCAACCTTTTGATACTTATATGGGTGCCAGAGAAGAGTGATACCTAGTTTATAGGACTAAGTTGATAAGAATATCCATTTATAAAGTATTTAGCAAACTGTCTGGAACACAGTAAATGCTAAGCAAACAGTGATTATTATCATTGTGTTGATTTACTATTTTCTAATATTAACAGAAAAACATTATATTTCTCACTTAGGTCTTTACTGGAATCTTTGCAGCTGAAATGGTATTAAAACTGATTGCCATGGATCCATATGAGTATTTCCAAGTAGGCTGGAATATTTTTGACAGCCTTATTGTGACTTTAAGTTTAGTGGAGCTCTTTCTAGCAGATGTGGAAGGACTGTCAGTTCTGCGATCATTCAGACTGGTAAACATAAACTAAGGTTGCCATTATATTCTATAATAAAGGGATATTTATTTGGTTTTGCATTATTATTTAAAACTTTTTGGAATTTGAATCAAAAGGCAAGATTATATCTTGATATCAAGTAAAATAAAATCCATTCATTGACAAATGCACTTAAAGAACTGAAACCACTTGAATATTTTTACAATTTTTGAGGACATGCTCAATTCTAATTTGAAGTACACACTAATATAATATAAATATTTTCTATTATATTCATATAGTACAATAATTTATTTCACAGTAAGAAGCTTATGGCTTACAGAATTTCAATGATTATATGTTCATAACTTTATGAATTTGGTAAAGATCAAATTGTTATCCCTCAAACAATTGTTGTCTGATCTTAACAATATAAAAACAAATAGAGACTTTTTAAAGCACATTTCTCTAATATGCTAGATTTTATCTAAATGTCAGCATGAAAAAATGTATAAAAGTATTAGAAAATAGAATTAAGGATAAATTATCAATTCTAAAGGAAATAATATCACAAATTATAAGAGATTTCCATAGCAATCCTGAACTAAAAGTACATACTTTCTTCATAATATCTGTTGTCATTTTTTGGGGCAAGTAGAACAAACTAACAGAAATATTGAAAATAGATGAAAATGAAAAATAAGAATAGTTTATTTTAGCCAGATAATAATGACAATATTATAGGACTTAAAGTCAGCTTTAAACTTTGAACAAAAATCAAGATTGGAAACATTGAAAAAATTTTCATAATGATTAATATTAAACTTTATATTTGCTTTTAGCTCCGAGTCTTCAAGTTGGCAAAATCCTGGCCAACATTGAACATGCTGATTAAGATCATTGGTAACTCGGTAGGGGCTCTAGGTAACCTTACCTTAGTGTTGGCCATCATCGTCTTCATTTTTGCTGTGGTCGGCATGCAGCTCTTTGGTAAGAGCTACAAAGAATGTGTCTGCAAGATCAATGATGACTGTACACTCCCACGGTGGCACATGAACGACTTCTTCCACTCCTTCCTGATTGTGTTCCGCGTGCTGTGTGGAGAGTGGATAGAGACCATGTGGGACTGTATGGAGGTTGCTGGTCAAGCTATGTGCCTTATTGTTTACATGATGGTCATGGTCATTGGAAACCTGGTGGTATGTAACCAGATGTTCTTACATTTTAATTTCTCTGGAAATTATTTTGTGATGATGTGATCTATTATTTTTATAATTTTATAATTATATCTAAAGTCATTAATTACAACAGAATAGTGATAATTTTAATTCAAGAAAGAACAGGAAAGAGAACAAAATGTTGTTTTAGTTTCCCTAGCCAAATAATCCATATTTATATTTTTCAAAATCACTGCCTATTCATTTTAATGCAAAGCTTTCTATCTTTCTCTCTAATCTTGATAGTAATGGCATATGCTCTCTTGAAGCTATACTAATAAATAATATATAATTAAGTTAATAATAACAAAAATGAAGTTAATAATGGACCAAGGCAAATGAAAGGACTGGTCCCGCACCTTATAGCCATGTATAAGACTAGCCTCTATAGTAAGGATCAGCACCTATGCCCCACAGACCACAGCAAGTCCAGTGCCTGTTATTGTGCGGCCCTGGGAGCTAAGAATGATTTTTAAATTTTTAAGTGGTTAAAATAATCAAAAGAAGAATAAATGACACATGCACATTATATGAAATTCAAATTTTAGTGTTCATAAATTTTATTCAAACATGGGAGTGTTAATTCATTTACGTATCTTCCATGGCTGCTTTTACATTACAATGGCAGAGATGAATAGCTGCCATGGAAATCCTATGCCCAATAGCATCTAAAATATTTATCATTTGGCCCTTTACAGAAAAAGTTTTCCAACCACTGGCCTATAGCATCGCGTAGACATAGCAATTTGCCTATTTTTTGAATTAGTGTTTTCTTGACTTGTACTTCTTTTTATTTTTTTCTTCCTTATACTGATTGGTGAACACTTTCAAGCTTACAAGCAGGAGAAAATTGGGATAAGATGCTCTTCTATGAGCCACTCATCTCAATTCTCAAATCTGCCGTGTTGACTAGTCTCAGTTGGTCAGCTTGACATCAAATCTCTCATCAGGTATCCAGAAGGTGGGGTATGGTAACAGCCATATGGTAAGTGCCTTCACTTCCCACTGAGTTGAAAAAAGTTACTAAAATATTGTTGTCCTTGTAACCGCCATAAAAAAAAGGACTCAGAAGTCAGGACAGAAACCTACATTCATCCAATCACACACTAAATGATACTGTGCCAGACATACACAAAGGCATTTATGCAGCACATATTCTGGATTTTTACTGCACAAAAAATATATATCATGGATTACCATTCTGTAATTGTTGATCACCCTCAAGTTGCAGTAATAAATGAGCTTTCTAGTTTTATACAGCCTTACAAATTCCTTCCAATATGGAATGAAATACACATTCTCTTTGTTTCTTCTTCTCAGTTTTGCATTTATAAGCTCCTATAGCAGGATTTGCTTGTGTATTTTCTTTTTCTTTTTTTTTTTTTTCTTTGAGATGGAGTCTCACTTTGTTGCCCAGGCTGGAGTGCAATGATGCAATCTCGGCTCGCCCCAACCTCCGCCTCCCGGGTTCAATAGGTTCACCTGCCTCAGCCTCCTGAGTAGCTGAGATTACAGGTGCATGCTACCGTGCCAGCTAATTTTTGTATTTTTAGTAGAGGTGGGTTTTCATCATGTTGGCCAGGCTGGTCTCGAGCTCCTGACCTCAGGTGATCCAGCCTCCTTGGCTTCCCAATGTGCTGGAATTAGAAGCATGAGTCACCACGCCCAGCCGTGTACTTCTTCTTAAAAAATTTTGACATTAAAAAAAAAATTTTTTTTTGACATAAAATCATGAAATTGGGACAGGTGTAACTTGTGAAAACATGCCACATCAAAGCCAATGATCACAAATAATTTAAACGTTTATTATTTATTCAGGCAAATTCAAAGGGAAAGGCATTCCCTTGGCTCTCACTTTATCCACTCAATATTTTTCAGTATCTTCTCTGTGAAAAGAAAGGTATTTAGGTATAGTTTAGATAGGAAGGCATTGTTTAGGTATTATTTAGGGTGGAAAACCAAAACCAATTACCCATGATCTAATCGTTGTTTTTAAGATGCTTATTAGGACACAGAAAAGTGGTACACAAAAGATATCAGACAAGGAAGGAGTGATGAGTTCTACCAATGAGGTTAAAATAAAATGCTTTTGACACTTAAAAGAAAGAGTTTTAGATTGAGACTTAAGGGAGGTTTTTGAAGTGGGCCTTTGAAGAATGGATAATATCATATTTGATCCTGGACACTGGTATGAGAGTTATGTTTTCCTTTGAATGACAATATAGATTTATAGTAAAAAACAGAGGAGATATATCAATGAGTGTTTCATTCATGTAGAATTAGTGTTAACTAACTCATATTGATATTCTTTAATTATTAATTATTGGCAATGAAAGTATACAGAAAAAAATTCATAAAGTTGATAACCAATTCTTGACTAATGAAGGAACTACCAATATCATAGAATTAAAATTTAAGGAAAAAAATATATTCCTGATATAGTCTTCCACATTAGAGTTATATGCTAAACTGGCTTCTCTTTTTTTATATTTCTCTAATTTATTGTTTCAGTCGTTTTATTGCCAATTAATTGAAATGGTTAAGGATCACAGGTTTAGGAAAACATTTGGAAAAACAGATTTTATTCAGCTTGGGTCTATATCAGGAAACTTGTGAAGATCTTTAATCACAATGAGACTTTGAATCAAGTATACATTTTATTAATATTTCTTCTCTTGTTTAACGTGATAATACAAAGATGATACAAATAGACTTTATTTTGATTTGTGATACCCACTAGGTTATAGAAATATTAGAGACTTAAGATTTTTGAAGGAAAGAAAGTTGTCACAGCAGCTGTTCTCAACGAAGTGAGAACCTCATGAGCCACCGCACCCTGTTAAGATGGTTTAACACTTGAATGGATTAAGGAGAATAAAGCAGTAAAATGGACCCTCAGATCCTCACCAATATTCCTATTAAAACAAATATACACAAATGTGTATTTCATAGTGAAATATACTTTTTCATGGACAAGTATTAAACTATTAAACCATTTCAGGGACTTTTTGCAATTATCAAAATTGTTCAGTATGATTCCCAGACCTCCCACCTCCAGAATTTTCTCTTAAATCAGACTTACTGAGATACAATTTTAACCTGCTCTCTTTACTTACATCTAAGAGAAATTTTTTTTTTTTTTTTTTTTTTTTTTTTTTTTCCTCGAGACGGAGTCTCACTGTCACCCAGGCTGGAGTGCAGTGGTGCGATCTCCGCTCACTACAAGCTCCGCCTCCCGGGTTCCCGCCATTCTCCTGCCTCAGCCTCCTGAGTAGCTGGGACTACAGGTGCCGCTACCACGCCCGGCTCATTTTGTGTATTTTTAGTAGAGACGGGGTTTCACGGTGTTAGCCAGGATAGTCTCGATCTCCTGACCTCGTGATACACCCGCCTCGGCCTCCCAAAATGCTGGGATTACAGGCATGAGCCACCGCACCCGGCCCAGAAATTGTTTTAGGTATGACCAAAATGAGGGGTGAGTACCTTCTCTTCAGTTAGGTCTTACTTTGATTTTTCAAACATGAGGTAGATGATTTGGGCCATGAAAAGACTTACATCAAATGCCAATTCAATTTTCTTTTTTGTTTCCTGGGTAAAACAATGTTTAAATATAATTTACATGTTTCCTGCCCTCTGTGAACATTTTTTTTTTTTTTTTACAATTTTTTTTGTTTGTTTGTTTGCTTGTTTGTTTGTTTTTGAGACGGAGTCTCGCTGTGTTGCCCAGGCTGAAGTGCAGTGGTGAGATCTCGGCTCACTGCAAGCTCCGCCTCCTGGGTTCATGCCATTCTCCTGCCTCAGCCTCCCGAGTAGCTGGGACTACAGGCGCCCGCCACCACGCCCAGCTAATTTTTGTATTTTTAGTAGAGACGGGGTTTCACTTTTTTAGCCAGGATGGTCTCGATCTCCTGACCTCGTGATCCACCCACCTCGACCTCCTAAAGTGCTGGGATTACAGGCGTGAGCCACCGGGCGCGGCCTTTTTTTTACAATGTTGAGTTCACCTGCACTTCTACTTCAGTGAGAAAAAAAAATAATTAACTCAAAAATAAGACTTTGTTTCAAGAGAATAGAAATTGTCCTGACCTTTTTTGTAATCTCTTCTGGGGCCAACATAATAGGCAATGAAGCCAGCCAATCATAATGCCATTATTGCATGTGAATCAGGTTCAGGGGGCAGGTCCTTTCCTGTGCTTTAAAAGTCACATTAAGTAGTATTCTAGCATACTTCTTGGACAGAATATTTCATTACAGGAACTTTGTAAGTATTGTGTGTTTCATTTGTTGGAACAAGTGACATTTATCTTCTGGTAAAGTGAACAAAGATCTTTAGCACAATAGAAAATAGTCACAATCGTCTTGTTCTACTTGTTTCTCACAAGTAATAAAGAATGATAGATGAATGCTAGGAGAGTGTTTTGGGTTCATAAAAGGGAACTTGATTAAGGAACTACTGCTACAGAAATGAACTTAGAAATGACGTAATGAAAATGATGAGGGATCATTCTCTCTGCTCCCCATGGTAGTTCTTCCTGGGTATGGCTGATCCTCTGCTGCCAAGTCTGCTGGGGCTAGTCTAGGGATACAGTGATGAAGAGTCTACCCTCTCCTCTGTCTCTCTCATGTGGTCTTATCCGTGCGTGAAAAGGTGCAGAAATCTTCGTTGCTGGTTTGTATTGTGGCCTATATTCAGAAAAGTGTGCTTATTTTATTTTTTTTATATTTCCTGTCTCCCTATTTCTCTACCCCCTCTCCCCATCCTGATATAGGTCCTAAACCTATTTCTGGCCTTATTATTGAGTTCATTTAGTTCAGACAATCTTACAGCAATTGAAGAAGACCCTGATGCAAACAACCTCCAGATTGCAGTGACCAGA